CTCACACCTTCACCCTTGTGCTGGGAATGTTGATAGGAGTCTGCGACATTGTTACGCAGTCCTCCTTCCCTAGATCTTATCACAGTCTCTCTATTGCCCTGTAAGATCTGTCTGCTCTCTCCCTGGTTCACGTATTTCACTCGACCCCTCTTGCCCCATCTGTGCTACTCGAGGCGTTGTTTGCTCTCTCCTGCGTCTGAGTGACTAATTCGAGGCTAAAGCCTCTGAGTAAGTATCATGGTCACGCCTTTGCTACATGGACCACGTTTCTAATAAAACCTACTGTCAACTAACTAGCTCCAGTCTCTCCGCCGTGTCTATCCTGTTTCTATCCATAATACCAAGTCTATGACTTCCCACAAATGTTGTGCTACTTCTTGCTTTGGTTAGGTTCACTGTTAAACCACAACGTTTGTGGTTTGGCACACAAGAGACTAGGGCATAGGAAGTCATAGACTTGGTATTATGGATAGAAACAGGATAGACACGGCGGAGAGACTGGAGTTAGTTGGCTGACAGTAAGTTTTATCAGAAACGTGGTCCATGTAGCAAAGGCGTGATCATGATACTTACTCAGAGGCTTTTGTCTCGAATTAGTCACCCAGATGCAGGAGAATGGGAACAACGCCTCGAGTAGCACAGATCGGGCAAGAGGGGTCGAGTGAAATACGTGAACCAGGGAGAGAGCAGACGGATCTTACGGGGCAAGAGAGAGACTGTGATAAGACCGAGGGAAGGAGAACTGCGTAACAATCTGGCAGACTCTGATCAACATTCCCAACACAAGGGTGAAGGAGTGAGAGCGATAGCGTGGACTGTTAAGGGTTTTCATGAATTCCGCTCAAAGGAGCACATCACACTACATCGAAATAAGCACGGTAATAATTTTAACAGTGAGGGTGCGATAGGTGGATGTAGGAAATGTGAATAACCCAAGGCAGAATGGGAGATACCACAACTGTTTAGCACACGTTTGGTCAAAGGATCGGTTTTACTTGTCTCTGACGTGTTGTGTGGGGCTAAGAATGGCGAGACTCACTGACGATGTCGGTGAAACGTTTGAAAATGTACCACTTCCACGATCCAACTTTGGAAATGATCATGCATACAATGGACTCCGGACTAGGTGCGTTCCTCTAAGTCTTCCTATCAATATGACCAAGTTGCGAAAACAAAGTAAAACAACCTTTAATTTTATTATCTTGCACTGTAATCTGGAGCTGTTTAGCTTCTCACAGGTGCCATATTTGATAGTTTAAATTGGTCTAAATTCTTGCTTTGTCCTACATTGCTGAATTCATTGCATTGTGATCATATGCATTCGAGCAATTAGTATAGGAAGATAAGAAATTTGATTGAGTTTGTTTGAAATGAAAGATCGGCATGGGCAGAATCAAAAAACCAGTTACTAAGTTGAGATCCAGATTTATAGAGATTCGACCTTATTAAACGAAAGGTATGGGATGATTATTGGATTCACTATTGAGGAGCAAAGGGGACTGATATAGGAATATGATAAATAAGGTATAGAAATGACTAACCTCAACCTACCACTGGCAAGTCGTCATTCTGTACCTAGCCTGGCTTTCTTCAGAGCCAATGCCCATTACGCTTCTGATGAAATATCTTTGGATTTATCTGATCATAGTTGCACTATCCATGATTGAGTCCCGCTTTTGCTGCTGATGAGAGGTGAGGTCGTAACTTCAGTGCACCTGGATGAGAATACCTTTCGTTAAGTAATGCTACCCATATCATTGTGGGAAAATTCAACAATAAGTTCTTTATCACCTTATGGATAAATGCTGTTACTCAAAAGTTACTTTTAGCTACGAGATGTACTCTGGAATAATTTACCTTATATATAAACTGGAGGACCACTTTTAAGGTATATATATATATATATACACACCTTAAAAGTGGCCCTCCAGTTTTAATATCTTCCTTCTAGTAGGATTTCAAAGAATGACACATGTTAAGTAAATAAGCCTATTTAGATAATGGGCGGAAGGATACGACTAGTTCTGCTCTCATCTACACTACTTCTTCAAAACTTTATTTACCGAATCTATTTTTTTAATGGCTGTGCATTCTCGCCAATTGGTAACAAATTTTTGAATACCTTTCTCCTCCATTCATCAACATCTTCGTTTTCCTCTAATCCTTCGAAGGCACATACGGGTTTTTGACTAATCTTCAGTAGATACGAATAGTAACTGGCTTTCGATTAATCTCATAATATAAAATTGTCGGTAAGGCTTTCATTTTATGTGAAAGTGCATGAAGAATACTTTTGAAGGTCGATTTCAATAGAATACGACGGCCGATTTTCGTTGTACTGCAGCCGTTAGACTTTAATACGACGTTAAGGTGAATATAGTCGACGAATCACTCTCCCTCGTTTTGGGTGAAAAGGGCCTAGCTTTCTTGAACTAGCAGCTGAAGCTGCTGACAGAGACTTAAAAGAAGGAGTTCAAGCTCTGATTATATCCATTATATGATGAACGAAAGCTAAGCCCGTTTTCTTCGGAATCTAGGGATGATGTCTCGTGGGCTTCGCTAACTTGACTCTAATAGTAAAGCCAAACGGTTGCATTACAACAGGAATCAGCCGTCGCCTTTGGTGGAAACCCAATGAATCCATGCTTTGCAATAATTAATCAAGCACGAAGATAAAGAAAGGTATCCGGCTGCAATTCTATCACGATAGTGCAGGGTATAATCCTGGCTTCTTAACCACTATGCCATTGCCACGAGTGCCCTTGAGTCACAGTGCAGTTGCGAACTTTAAGGAAGGCCAGTCATTTTCTCATATCACATTCTATGATTGAATCGTCGAGGAAGCAGTGTTCTATTTGCTATAGCAATACACTAATTATTATTATTATCAACCTACTTCTAGAAGCATATGATATCCATCTAAATAATGAGTATTATCATTAAGTGGACAAATTAAAGCTATAAGAAGTAGGTAGGATTTAAGTTGGCCACTGTTTTTTGCCTTCGTGTTTGTTGAATTATTGTAAAGCATGGTGTCCTGCTCTTACGATGTCCATCACATGACAGGCGTTAGCTCTGCAAGGATTCATTAGAGTCGCATGGTGGTGCGCCGAGGGCTTATTCGCACAAGTCTACAGTCTCAGCCCCGAGGCAATCCTCTTTTCGCTTCCGATGAGGCCAACTCACGAATCCTTTCCACTGGCCTCTTCAAACGAATTGAAAGTTACTCCAGCATCAATATATAAAGGGATTCTTCGAAATCCGCTTTTCTACATATCTTTGAAATATTTTGTTCTCTGTCATCACTATTTGAATGTATTTTTTCCTGCTGGGCTATTTCTGAATTAGTTAGTTTAGCAATCATTGACTAGCGATTGATACCGAAGATTGTAGATGCTAAGGGCTACGGACTAAGCTAATTATAGTCTGAATCTCGTCATTATTGAACTAAATATTTTGTCAATCTACGTGTTCTATCTATTTTGCAGTAATCTTGATACTTAACATGTGGACTAAATTCATCACTATGGACGATCTGAAGATCAGACGGAAGAATCAATTCCTCAACAAGCCAAAGCATGACTAAAAGGCACCAAACAACGAAGGCCAGTCTGCTGCCTGCCTTAGCGTGTAAATACACAAAGATTTCGACAAGTCTGTAATTTTATCTAGTTGTGAAGCTCCGTGGTTATATTGAAATTTAACTAATTTGTAGGCCGATTTTATAACTCATGTGAATGCCTGATTGCTACATTCGCCTACTTTTCAGACCTATAATCATTCATCACCATCCGACTTGACTCACAAAGAAACGTCTTCCGACGCATCTGGCTCACTTGACCCTGCTGTACGCCATATCTGCATTAGGCTCGAGTTTCACATCCCACCTGACCCATCTCAAACTGGCGAGCCCCAACATGTCAGGATAGGAAAAAGTAATGACAAATTCAGAGCAGATTTTGTGGAAAATGGTGCCGGCAATATTGGCCTATCGACTGATCATCTTTGCCGACGTCTTTCAATGGCTGCTGACCGTGCTGATCATTCACTTTTTAGTGCCCTTCCAGTACCACCTCGGAAGCGTCGGCGTGGTGGTCCTCGAAGTGGGGGTGGAGCTAGTTCGGCCAGGATTGTTGATTCGAGCCCTAATATAAATCGTATCGACTCTGAGGCAAATCTGGCCAATGGCATTATAATTGGAAAGACGCGGAATGTCTCTAGAGCTTCAATTGGCATATTGCTTGAATGCTTGCCGCAAATACTCTTCACCAGAGATGTCCTCTGGTATCTCTATTTTTGTCGTTATTTTTATCAATTACGCCTATATAAAATGAAATAACATACTTTATTTCGTCTACTCTTCTTATTGATATAGGAATTCATAGCCTCTTATAGCTTTGAAATGAATAGGCACATACTTGATAGCTGCCTGCAACGATAGGCGGGAGTCTCCTCCACCTATCCTCATTACGTATTCCATTATAATTTAATCAGCTATATTTTAACATTTTGTATGAGCTAATCGCACTTCATATCTCGTTTATGGGCGTAAAGAGCCATATTACTTCTAGATCACTCAAGAAATTAGCTTCAGTTAGCGTAGGATGGCCAAAAGTTACTGTGAGCCTAATTAGGTTGTAATGATTGAATGACTATAAGGACAATTCTATTAATGTGCTTAACCATTATATATATATATATATATATAT